ACATTTTGCAAGCCTGCCTCTTGTCTGCAGCTTTCCTCAGTCTATGGGCCTGTAGTCCACTGCTGCTCTGTCTCTCTATGCCACCGCCTCCATCACAATCTCTGTCATCACCACTTTTGTGGTCAGGATCCCTTGCTCCTTTCATGTTCTTAATTCTTGATGGTCCTAGGGTCCCCTGTTCCTGAGATGACAGATTAACTCCTCTCCCTTTAAGTTGAATCTCCTCTATATTTACAGTTGTGACAATCTCCATTAGAGTTGAAAGCAATTACTCATAATTGCATCACAAAATCCTATCCCCCTCATTACTAGACCCATCTGGACAATAGGATTTCTGTCTTACTCCCTGTGTTCTGACATTAAGCACCCTCATGAAAATTTGTAAGCCAGACACTTCCATGCCTTTTTTTGGTAGCCAAAGTCTGAGTGCCCACCCATATCGGTGAGTGTAAAAGAACTCTGGTAGCATACTAGTTATGAATCGGACTGTGAACTGCAAGGTCATCAGTTTGAAACTACCAGCTGTTCCATGGGAGACATATGAGGCTTTCTGCTCCCGTAAAGATTTACAGCCTTGGAAACCCTATACAGGGTCGCTATGAGTCGAAACCGACTCCATGGAACATAACCACTACCACCATCAACCCAGTGTTCTAAGGAGACATGTTTTATCCTTGATATGGAGAATCCTTCCCTATTTGGTTGGAATTTTGAGCAGCCTCATCCATAATCAAGGGTCCAGTTGATTAGGTGGTAGCAATTTACACCTGCTCCCTGTATCATACTTCTTTATCTTCATCTGGGGGAGTTCTGGTCAGCAAGTCATCCATGCTAGGTCCAATGTGTACTGTCTGCAAGTCTGGGAGTTCTGGCATGCCCCCACTTCTTCAGATCTAGTGGCTGCTTCATTCTTAACTTTAGCCCTCAGTGGTAAGCTCAGTGTCTTAGGGCTCAGGAGTAAAATTTATTTTTTATTTGCATTCAGCTTTTGACATTATGGAAAAAATGCTCACATGTGCATATATACAAATACATATCTTATCTAAATATTTAAAACATTTATTATTTAATTAATAGAAGAGAA